AGCCAAAAAGTTACTAAATTAGCCAAAAAGCCAACAACTCATACCAAAAAGTCAAAGATTCTGTTTTCTCTCTACTTTTTGCACATCTTTTCGTAATTAGCCAAAAAGTCATCCCAAACATACAAGTTTTTTTTACCTACCTTTTTAGCCAAATAGCCAAAAAGTTACTAAATTAGCCTGTTCCCAAACGAGGCCTTAGTGTATAACTAGTAAAAGTTCTGATTTTACTGGCTTTTGAACTTTGCTTAAGGTTGTTATGAGGTTTGGGGTTGTTTTCCCCCTCTTAGGCCTTGTTTGGCCTCCCTTTTGTGCTATTTTTGGTGAGCTTCGGGACCACCTTGTATTGGTCCTAAGAAGGAGAGGGTCATCCCCTCTCCTTGTTGCCTTCAATATTTGTCATTTTTGCCTTATGTGTGAGCATCTTGTTTAAGTTCATGATGGCCATGTCTTAGCTGGTATTTGTGGTTGTTTTGCCATGTTATATCTCTGTTTTAAGTTGGTTTAGACACACCATGCATGCTTTGCATACTTGCCTTGTAATGCCACGAAATTGCCTTAACATGCTTTGTGCCTTGAGCCTTGTTTTTTAGCATGATTTTGGCTTGACTTTGTAAAGCTTTTATGCATGTTTTAGTGTGCTTGAGGTCTGACTTTGGTTATTTGGGTCGTCCATGACTTGCTTTGTATAGCTACCATGCAATCTCCCTTATAGGCCTTGAGTGTTGGCCTCTCTAGCATGCTCTCCTTGTATCATTTCAGTGGTTTGACACCACTTATCATGTCATTTCAGTCCATATGGTATGCTTGTATGCTTGCATTTGATACTCCTTTGATGCTTTAAAAGGTTGATGTCTTATGCTCCATGTTTGGACCATTGTGTATGCTTCCATGTGTGGGCCATTTAGATGCCATCAAGTGTGTTTTGGGCCTTGTCTCGACCTACATTGGGACTGTTTTGAGTCCCTTCGACCCTTTGGGACTCGCCTTGCATAGCCATGGTTTGATCTCTTAGGTTAGACTTAGGCCTTGGGCTTGGTTGCATGCTATGCTTGCCTTGTTTAATTGGTTTGGCACCTTTTCTAACATGATTTCAGAGCTTGCTATGCTTTCCATATGTCCGTGTTCATCCCTTTTAAGTGTGCTTAAAAGTTGCCTCTTTATGCTTAAGTGTTGGACCATGTGTGCATGCATGTTTGTATGTGACTTTGTCCCTTGTCTCTTAGTATCTTGGCCACTGATTTGGGCCTATTTTAGAGCTGCCCAAATTGGTTTAAGACCATCCTTCGCATGTTGTCGCATGCTCGCCTTGTGTGTTGTTACGTACTTGGCCTATCGCATGTTGCTGCATGCTTGAATCGCATTGCATTTGGCATGCATTTTCTTTGCTAAAGTTACTTTACATGTTCCCATAATAAGTCCCATTCACATGTTGTTGCATGTTGGTTACTAGCATTATTGTTACATGTCTCGTATGCTTGTTTGCTTAGGTTGTGTGCCTAGTACACATTGCTTGCTTGCATGCTCATATTGCATACTTAGCTCACATACTCAGGTTGCATTTTGCATGCGTGCCTTGCCTCTTGAATCATCAATGAGTAAATAAATGCCTAAGTACCTGAGTGGTAAACGAAAAGCAGTGGAACATACCAGTGGTGAGTCAGGATCACTAACGTATTGATGATCAGGCATGGGGGGCTTTATCGGAATCGGGTAGGAAGTCCCGTATCGCCATCCTGTCAACTCAGTCGGGATAGCTGGCCATCCGACCTGATGATAAGTCGGGGGAATCGGGGGGACTAGCCCAGCTCCGCCTCTCGATGTGCTGGCCCTACTGGTCAAAGGAATATCTGTAGCCTGGGCCCGGCTCGATGATGGCATTCCAGCAGACCTCCTCGTGGGAGTACGGACACCAGTTAATGGAGGCGTCAAGTATGTATGGCGGTAGGTCGCGTACTCCCCCTCCTCGAAATGCAGAAGTACATCAGTGCCCAGCATCGCCGACTCAACATCCTGGGGGGTGAGCCCCTCAGTGGACCGCATGTCAACCGGAGGTGCTGCGGGGACACTCTGCTCGAGGTAGCCCATAGTCTGACGCATGAAGTGGTCCCCCAGAAACCAGGCCCTACCAACGGTGTCACACCCCTAACCCGCCCCTAAAGGTTTTGGGCGTGACCTAATCAGAAACAGACACTTAACTTGCTATAAATGATATTCGGAGCCTGAATGGAAGCGTTTATAAAAAAAAAATAACATGCAGACACATCCATTGAGCGACTACCAAAATGCCAGGACCACATCTCGGAATTAAACATAAAGTGAATATGCGCCTGGAATTAGGTTACATACACATTTACAAGTCCAATCCAGAGTTTGGGCACACAAAATGTTAGATACAAACAACTGTGGCCAACAAAATAGGGGTACAAAATGTCTAAGACTAGCAAAACTGCCCTAGCATGCAAAAGGCTTCTCCAAGTGCCTGGTTGTCCTTAAGCTGACAAAAGGTAGATGATGATGATGTAAGGACTGACCTCCAAGCTGTTTCCTACAGAATCAAATATAATTACAGAGTGAGACAAGCTCAGTGAATAATAATACTTCAGTAGTTTAATAACCAATTTTACCACAATGCATAATACAAAAGCGAGACTGATATGGTTTTATTTCCAGAACGGCCTGTCGGCCCAGAATTATCAGAACGGCCTGTTGGCCCAGAATTATCAGAACAGCCTTTCGGCCTAGAACACACAAATGTGTACGTATATCTTTTCAACATTTCATTTCTATTGAGTTCTAATCAATACAAAAGAAAATGTCGTAGCTGACGGAAAACAGAAAGTTCTTAACAGACATTAGTGATAAATAAATGTACATTCAATGTACTATTACTCACAGCGTTGTGATGGCGTGCTAGTTCCTTCCAGAGTGTGCCCTGCACACAATCATAACTTGTAAATTAGTTCTCTTTCTTCTTAAATCATTGAGGAACTATTCCCTGTGTCATTACACTTCACATGAATTTATAACCATCTTAAAATCATCAGAAAATATTCTAAAAATGCCAGAGAGTCAAGCACGCAAAACTGAACAAACACATTTTTTTTTTGAAATTAAGTCCCCCGCTCGAGCACCACTTTGGCCGCTCGAGCGGACTGTAAAATGCACAAAATTGCTGAGAGATGGTTTTTCCCGCTCGAGCGGGCTTTCCGCCGCTCGAACGGACCGAGCAGATTCCGAAATTCTGAACCTCCATTCGAGTCCCAACCTGGTATTCACTCCATTTTTTTCATGCAACTCAAGGTTAGATTAATGCAATATTCCCACCTAACATCACTATAACATGGATTCTACCTTGAGTATAATAAATTAACCAAGATTAGAAGCTTCAACAAGCCATCTCTCTCTCTAATTCCACTCTTGGATTCAAGTTTTTCATATCCTTGACACATAACACATGATATATGCATAATTCCATGAAGTGATGATAGAAAACTGTAGATTGAAGTATAATTTCATACCACACCCAATCTAGATGCCTAAGCAACCAATAGGGAGAAACCCTTATTAATCAAGCATGAATTAGACATGAATCAAACATACACATCAATTACAAACTCTAAGTGGCCATAACAAGAAGGATTTGAGCTTACCTTGAATTCAATCCTACACCTCTAACAATTTCGCCAAGCTTTCTTGTTGAATCCCTTCTCCCCCGATTTCTCCTCCTTTTTCCCCCAAAATGGTATTCACGTTTGTTTTTGATCAAGGCTCCTAAAGTCTTAGAGGTATATATATATATAAGTAAGGCATATAAGACAAAAATGAATCGTTTAATCTTTCCAAAATTAAAATTTCGCGAACATGCTTAATATTACCTAAAAATTATGCTGATTACGAATATATAATCAATTTCAGCTAATTAAGTTGTTAAGGCTTCCAATTTCTAATTCAAACGTGTTAATGGTGACAGATAGTTTCCTTATTCAATAGATAGGAATCCATATGGCTAAGTTTCATGTAATTCAATGTACTTTCACATAGAATTTCATAATATGCATTCAAAAACATAGAATAGAGGACTGAAAAAAATACCAGGGTCATGTACGAGGGTCGGGCTATTACACTCTCCCCCCCTTAATTAAGTTTGGTCCTCCAAACTTGTTTTACCTTAGGACGGAAATAGATGCGGGTATTGGTGTTGCATTTCCTCTTCCTTTTCCCAAGTTGCCTCGGTTCCGTAGTGCTCTTGCCACTCCACTTTCACCATTGGAATTTCCTGGTTTCGTAACTGTTTCACCTGACGGTCCAGAAGTCGAAGTGGTTTTTCCTCGTATGTTAACTTATCAGTCAGCATAATTTGGTGATAATTGATAATATGTGATGGATCCGGGAGGTATCCTCGAAGCATAGAAACGTGAAACACATTATGAATTTGGCTCATATTTGGCGGAAGGGCAACTCGGTAGGCTACCGGACCCACTTTTTCTAAGATCTGAAAGGGACCAACATATCGGGGTGTCAACTTACCCCTTTTTCCAAATCTTGGGTGTCCTTTCATTGGGGTAACTTTCATGAAAACATGACTGTCCACGTCAAACTCCAAATTTCTGCGCCGGTTATCCGCATAACTCTTCTGTCTACTCTGAGCAGTTTTCAATCTTTCTCGAATAATTCTAACCTTTTCAGTTGTCAACTGGACATTCTCGGGCCCTAACAAGGGCCTATCTCCAACCTCAGCCCAACACACGGGGGAACGACACGGTCTTCCATACAGGGCTTCATAGGGTGCCATTTCAATACTCGAGTGGTAACTGTTATTATATGCAAACTCAACCAACGGCAGATGAGTTTCCCAACTTTCCTGAAAATCCAAAACACACATTCGAAGCATATCTTCTAGCGTCTGAATTGTCCTTTCGGATTGTCCATCTGTATGAGGGTGGAAAGCTGTGCTAAACTTTAATTTCGTACCCATCGCATTCTGTAGACCTTGCCAGAACCTTGAAACAAATTTGGGATCTCTATCTGACACAATTGAAACCGGAACACCGTGAAGCCTTACAATTTCATTCACATAGATCACAGCAAGTTTATCGGCATTATACTGGTCTTCACAGGCAGGAAGTGGGCGGACTTTGTTAATCGGTCGACAATGACCCATATAGAATTCATCCCTCGGGGTGTTCGTGGTAAGCCTGCAACAAAATCCATAGTCAGATGTTCCCATTTCCACTCTGGAATTGGAAGGGGTTGTAATAATCCTGCGGGTCTCTGATGCTCTGCTTTTACCTGCTGACATTGCAAACACTTAGAAACAAACTCTGCGATTTCTTTCTTCATACTTGGCCACCAAAAATGTTTCTTCAAATCCCGGTACATTTTAGTACTTCCTGGATGCATTGAAACTTTTGAGGCATGTGCTTCTTCCATCAATTTCCGTTTAAGTTTTAACACATTAGGAACACATATTCGGTTTTGAAATTTAAGCACAGAATCTGTCAAAGCGAATCCTAGTTTCGGTTTTGTCTTCATTTCATCACGTATCTTCTTTAAAGCTCCATCCTCCATTTGGCGTATTTTAATCTCCTCAAGTAATGTCGGTTGAGCCATGATTGTTGCCATTGTTGCCCCTTGATCATGCACTGCCAAGTTGACCCCCATCTTATTCAGTTCATTCATGAACTCCTTTTTCCCTGTCAATAAACTTGCCAAATCCCCCATATTTCTCCGGCTAAGTGCGTCTGCCACCGTGTTGGCTTTACCGGGATGATAGTGGATCTGTAAATCATAATCTTTAATAAGCTCCAACCATCGCCGCTGATGCATATTCAACTCCTTTTGGGTAAAAATGTATTTGAGACTTTTATGGTCGGTATAAATGTCACAAGTAGTTCCATATAGATAATGCCGCCAAATTTTTAAAGCAAAAACGACTGCAGCTAGCTCAAGATCATGCGTGGGGTAGCCCTTATCATGGGATTTAAGCTGGCGAGAAGCATAAGCAATAACTCTTCCACTTTGCATAAGCACACAACCAAGTCCTTTATGTGATGCATCGCTGTAAATCACAAATCCCTCAGTACCAGATGGTAGGGCAAGGGCCGGGGCTGTAGTCAACTTCATTTTTAATTCTTGGAAGGCAGATTTCCGCGGTTCCGTCCATTCAAATGCAACTCCTTTTTTAGTCAACTGTGTGAGTGGTACAGCAATCTTAGAAAAATCCTGAACAAATCTCCAATAATAGCCGGCTAACCCCATGAAACTACGCACTTCAGTCACATTAGTCGGGGTCAGCCAGTTTACAATCGCCTCAATCTTGTTTGGATCAATAGAGACTCCTTCCTTAGTTATAACATGCCCCAGAAATGTCACTTCATGTAGCCAAAATTCACACTTTTTTAGCTTCGCGTACAACTTCTTTTCACGGAGGGTTTGAAGGATTAAGCGAAGATGATTTTCATGGACCTCTACATTCTTTGAGTAAATAAGGATGCCGTCAATAAAGACCACTACAAACTCATCCAGATAAGATTTGAAGACACGGTTCATCAGATCCATAAATGCTGCTGGTGCGTTTGTAACTCCAAAGGGCATAACCAAAAATTCATAATGACCGTACCGGGTTCGAAAAGCTGTCTTCTCAACATCATGAGCTTTAACTTTCAATTGGTGGTATCCGGACCGTAAGTCAATCTTAGAAAAGACTTGTGATCCTTGTAATTGATCAAATAAATCGTCGATCCGTGGTAAGGGATACTTATTCTTGATTGTTACTTTATTAAGCTCCCGGTAATCTATACATAATCGGAGTGTTCCATCTTTCTTCTTCACAAACAGGACTGGTGCACCCCACGGAGAAACACTCGGGCGGATAAACCCTTTATCCAATAAATCTTGCAATTGAATCTTCAATTCTCTCATTTCAGCTGGCGCCATTCGATACGGGGTTTTAGAGATGGGTTGGACTCTCGGTAGCACTTCAATCGTGAATTCGATTTCACGGTCCACTAATTCTCCTGGCAATTCTTCCGGAAAGACATCCGGAAATTCGCAGACAACTGGAATCGCACCAATATTCTCATTCATTGTTGGCCCTTCCAAAACACTACATAAGTACCCTTGACACCCTTTCTGAATTAATTTACAAGCCCTAGCCGCAGAAATCACATACAGTGGAGAAGTCACTCCTTGCCCCTGAAAAGTAGATTCTGATTGTCCTGGAGGGTGGAATTTGATTTGCTTTGTCAGACAGTCGATAGTGGCACTATATTCACCCAGCCAATCCATTCCCAGAATAATATCAAAAGAAGTCATATCAAGTGGTAATAAATTAGCATATACATGGATACCTCCAATGAGGAGTTCACAAGCAGAATAGACAGAAGTACAGATCATAGAATTTCCCATAGGTGAAGACACACACAACACATAAGTCAATTCTTCTTCAGGTTTACCTAAGTTTTTCGCAAATAATTTTGACACAAAGGAACAGGTAGAGCCAGAATCAAATAAGACGCGAGCAGAATGACCATGAACCATAAATGTACCTGACACCACTGTTGTTGCATTTTGTACATCTCCCGGAACCAACGCAAATACCCTACCTTGCCTCGTAGTATCCTTATTGTTAGCAGGTTTAGCAGCTGACTTGGTATTAGGAACCGGTGTAGACCCTGCTGAGCTTGTGGCGACCTTATTACCAGTTTGTTGATTCTTTTGCGGACAGTCCTTTATTAAATGCCCCGTTTTGCCACATCGAAAACATGCCCCAGACAATCGGTGACAAATCCCTCGATGCCTCCATCCACATTCTGGACACACAGGAGCTGAATTTTGAGGAGAAGTAGTAGTGTTGGAGGTCCCTAAATTTTGCTTCTTATTTGGTGGAGTAGTTGACCCCTTGAACCCTTGGTTGTTCTGCCTTTTTCCTTTCCATCCAAAAATTCGAGTCTGAGCAGCAATATTCCCTTCTACTATAACAGCCCTTTCTAACACATCAACATAGGTAGGTAACTTCAACACATTAACTTGGTCCAGAATAGTACTCCGCAATCCTCCCTCAAATTTTCGCACCTTCTTGTATTCTGTATCTACCATGTGAGGTGCAAACCGGGCTAGTTCTGCGAATTGAGCTTCATATTCAGCAACAGTTTTATTTCCTTGTCTTAATGTTTCGAATTCGGTCACCTTCTTGTCCCGCATACTCTGGGAAAAATATTTATCATAAAATAGCTCTAAAAATCTGTCCCATGTCAGCCCTTGATACATTGTTCTTGTGAGCATCCACCACCTTCGCGCCTCATCTTCAAGAGTAAAAGCAGCAAGCTGCACCTTTTGGATTTCAGTACAAGGGAAAACTTCGGACAACTTTTCTATTCCCAATACCCATGCCTCAGCTTTCATCGGTTCAATTCCGCCTTTAAACACTGGCGGTTTCATCTTTTTAAATTCCTTTGTAAGTGTAATGATTTTATCTTCAGCATGGAACTCTTGTACTACTGGGGGAGGTATTGGTGGTGGTGGCGGTTGTTCTTGTGGTTGTTGTTGCCGTTGTGGTTGTTGCTGTTGTTGTTGCTGTTGCTGTTGTCGACATAAGGTCTCTGCCATTTCCATAATCATTCTCTCCATCCTGTCCAACCGGGCAGCCGTAGCACCTTCCTACTCCTCTGTCCGTGTTCTCACCATGATCTACACAACAATCAAGTACAACATACACAAAAGAATGCAATAGACATTGGTCACCATCATTAACATTAGCAGAAAACATTTAACGTTGCTATGAATCGTCCTTTACTACATGATGCCTGTAAATTTCTAGACATCCTAACGCTCAATGGATCCGTGTGTGAGATAGCAACTCGTGCTCTGATACCACTTGTCACACCCCTAACCCGCCCCTAAAGGTTTTGGGCGTGACCTAATCCGAAACAGACACTTAACCTGCTATAAATGATATTCGGAGCCTGAATGGAAGCGTTTATAAAAAAAAAATAACATGCAGACACATCCATTGAGCGACTACCAAAATGCCAGGACCACATCTCGGAATTAAACATAAAGTGAATATGCGCCCGGGATTAGGTTACATACACATTTACAAGTCCAATCCAGAGTTTGGGCACACAAAATGTTAGATACAAACAACTGTGGCCAACAAAATAGGGGTACAAAATGTCTAAGACTAGCAAAACTGCCCTAGCATGCAAAAGGCTTCTCCAAGTGCCTGGTTGTCCTTAAGCTGACAAAAGATAGATGATAATAACGCTAGGACTGACCTCCAAGTTGGTTTCCTATAGAATCAGACAAAATTACAAAGTGAGACAAGCACAGTTAATAATAATACTTAAGCAGTTTAATAACCAGCTTTAGTAACAATGCGTAACAATGCATTCACAAAATGAGATTCAAAAGTGAGTCTGATATGGTTTTACTTGCAGAACGGTCGTTGGCCCAAAATAATCAGAACAGCCTTTCGGCCCAGAACAGCCTTTCGGCCCAGAACATACAATATGTACGTATATCTTTTCAGTATTTCATTTTCATTAAGTTCCAATCAATACATCTGCTAAAATCGTAACTGACGGAAAACAGAATGTTATTAACAGATATAGTGGAAAATAAATGTACATTCAATGTACTATTACTCACAGCGTTGTGATGGCGTGCTAGTTCCTTCCGGAGTGTGCCCTGCACACAATCATAACTTGTAAATTAGTTCTCTTTCTTCTTAAATCATTGAGGAACTATTCCCTGTGTCATTACACTTCACATGAATTTATAACCATCTTAAAATCATCAGAAAATATTCTAAAAATGCCAGAGAGTCAAGCACGCAAAACTGAACAAACACATTTTTTTTTTGAAATTAAGTCCCCCGCTCGAGCACCACTTTGGCCGCTCGAGCGGACTGTAAAATGCACAAAATTGCTGAGAGATGGTTTTTCCCGCTCGAGCGGGCTTTCCGCCGCTCGAGCGGACCGAGCAGATTCTGAAATTCTGAACCTCCATTCGAGTCCCAACCTGGTATTCACTCCATTTTTTTCATGCAACTCAAGGTTAGATTAATGCAATATTCCCACCTAACATCACTATAACATGGATTCTACCTTGAGTATCATAAATTAAGCAAGATTAGGAGCTTCAACAAGCCATCTCCCTCTCTAATTCCATTCTTGGATTCAAGTTCTTCATATCCTTGAAACATAACACATGATATATGCATAATTCCATGAAGTGATGATAGAAAACCATAGATTGAAGTATAATTTCATACCACACCCAATCTAGATGCCTAAGCAACCAATTGAGGGAAACCCTCATTAATCAAGCATGAATTAGACATGAATCAAACATACACATCAATTACAAACTCTAAGTGGCCATAACAAGAAGGATTTGAGCTTACCTTGAATTCAATCCTACACCTCTAACAATTTCGCCAAGCTTTCTTGTTGAATCCCTTCTCCCCCGATTTCTCCTCCTTTTTCCCCCAAAATGGTATTCACGTTTGTTTTTGATCAAGGCTCCTAAAGTCTTAGAGGTATATATATATATAAGTAAGGCATATAAGACAAAAATGAATCGTTTAATCTTTCCAAAATTAAAATTTCGCGAACATGCTTAATATTACCTAAAAATTATGCTGATTACGAATATATAATCAATTTCAGCTAATTAAGTTGTTAAGGCTTCCAATTTCTAATTCAAACGTGTTAATGGTGACAGATAGTTTCCTTATTCAACAGATAGGAATCCATATGGCTAAGTTTCATGTAATTCAATGTACTTTCACATAGAATTTCATAATATGCATTCAAAAACATAGAATAGATGACTGAAAAAAATACCAGGGTCATGTACGAGGGTCGGGCTATTACAAACGGGCCCCTCAAATAAGATCCTGTACCGGGAAGCGACCCACCCCTTAGCAAGCTGAAATCAGGTATTTCCACCCAAGGGCGCCCAGGGCTGCTATGTGATCTGCAAATAACCAATGCATAAGCCGATTAGAAATCGTAAATGTGTAAGATGAATTAAAGATGAAAACATGGAGAACTGAGAGTTCTGAATTACCTCTGTCGGCCACACTATGTCAAAATACTGCTGCAGGTAGGGTAAAGTCTCTCGGGCCCTCGGCCGGTACTGGACCTCGAATACAAGCGAGTAAGGGATCGTGAGAGGCACCGCCACCTCGAGCTCCGAGGCCAGCGTCGGAAAGTACGTGAAAACCCAGAGTTGTGGAAAACAAGGCAATAGCCATTAGAATACAGAATGCTGAGTGCATAACGTGAATGCAGAATGTACAGAGAATGCAGAATGCTGAGAGCAGAATGCAAAGTACAGAATGTGAAGTGTGTGCAATGTACAGATAATGACAAGCAGAAATGTAAATCAAGAGGGCAGAAAATACCTCCCAGGCTCTCCAGTAGCCACCGACTATGTTCCCCCGTCCACGGGAGGTCGCGCTCATGTAGCAATAAAGGGTAGCTAAGCCGGCGCCACCCCAATCATACTGACTGACCCGTGCGAGGTCTACCAGAGCACTCAGCAAATAAAGCCCGATAGTGTTCCCCCTATCGGAGAACAGAGTGGTCTCGAAGAGGAACATCGAAAACCCTCGAGTATACTGCTCTACCTCCTCGGGAGTCTCGGGCTCAGTCCCGCTAAAATGTGTGGAGAACCAAGTGTACCGGACCCTACCCGATGATCTGTCAACCGGTGGGCGAGCTCCCAATAGATAGATCCAGGCGGCCTCCCACTCGCCCATGTCCTCGTCATAAGGGATCGACCAGCCTCCCACGTCAAGGCCTGTCAGTATGGCAAAATCGAACGAGGTCATAGTCATGTCCCCGGTGACCGAGAAATGGAAGGAGCTGGTGGTGTCCCACCATCTCTCTACAAGAGCCCCCATCAATGTCCTGCTAGCAGGATAGCGAGATATCCCCGTGCAAAAGGGTCCAAACCCTGCCTGGTCAACCCAATCACGGACGGCCTCCGGGAGCTCTGTGTACCACTCCCTCGCAATGATGGAGCCATATCCTCGTGTAACACGGGAAGACACCTGCATTCATAATGAACACATGTATTCAGTTTCAAAATGAAAGGAATAAGTTGCGTGCAAATGAAATGTATGAGCTGTGTGCAAACCAAATCAGATACAATGCTGTGAGCTGTGTACAAATACAAGTGTGTGCTGTGCGTTCACCTCAAATTTGGGCTGCGTGTTCAGAAACTCAGAGTTTGGGCTGCGTGTTCGACTTTCAACAAGTGTGGGCTGTGTGTTCATTTAAAAGAACGGGCTGTGTGTTCAGATTTCAAAGTTCGAGCCGTGTGTTCAACGTCAAGTATTTGAGCTGTGTGTTTAGATTTCAAAATCAGTGGGTTGTGTGTTCATCTCAAAGTTCGAGCCGTGTGTTCAATGTCAAGTATTTGAGCTATGTGTTCAGATTTCAAAATCAGTGGGCTGTGTGTTCATCTTAAAGTTCGAGCCATGTGTTCAACATCGAGTATTTGAGCTGTGTGTTCAGATTTCAAAATCAGTGGGCTGTATGTTCATCTTAAAGTTCGAGCCGTGTGTTCAACATCAAGTATTTGAGTTGTGTGTTCAGATTTCAAAATCAGTGGGCTGTGTGTTCATCTCAAAGTTCGAGCCATGTGTTCAACGTCAAGTATTTGAGCTGTGTGTTCAGATTTCAAAATCAGTGGGTTGTGTGTTCATCTCAAAGTTCGAGCTGTGTGTTCAACGTCAAGTATTTGAGCTGTGTGTTCAGATTTCAAAATCAGTGGGCTGTGTGTTCATCTCAAATTCGAGAAGTGTGTTCAACATCAAGTATTTGAGCTGTGTGTTCAAATTTCAAAATTGGGCTGTGTGTTCATCTCAAAGTTCGAGCCGTGTGTTCAACGTCAAATGTTTGAGCTGTGTGTTTATCTAAAAGTTCGAGTTGTGTGTTAAACATCAAGTGTTTGGGCTGCGTGTTCAGACTTCAGAAATTCAAAGTTTGGGCTGTGTGTTCAACTCTCAACAAGTGTGTGCTGTGTTCACAATCAATATGCGGGCTGCGCGTTCAGAAATTCAAGTGATTGGGCTGTGTGTTCAAGATACAAACGGAATACTGTGTTATAGACTAAGTGTTCAGAACAAGCTGTGTGCTAGAATGAGCAGATAAACATAGCGAAAGCATGAAATGCATAGAAAATGCATAATACATTGCGGAAAACGTAAAAGTGAGGTGCATACCTCCCGTGCCTGATGAGAGAGGTGAGACTCCGGCTCCCGCAATAGCAGATCCACGAGTGCTCGATTATAAAAATCGGTAAAATGGTAGAAAACGGCCCGGGGAAGGATATGCTCCCGAGGGTGATACCTCTCGGGATCAAAGGGCCGAATCCTCGGGGGTAAGGACATGATGTCTGGATCACCTTCGGCACCTGGAGGACCT